TCATTTTTATAGTATTTCGGATTTATTATTTAAACAGTATGTGCAAAAGAAAAGAATGGTTGGCTTCTGACAAATTGGAGAAACAAAATGCAAAAAAGTAGTTATTAACACAATTACCAAGGTTCTTCTCCAACTCCCTTTATTGGTGATGAGTTAAAGCTAGATAGAGAAAAAAAAAATTCTAATTATAGCTAATCCACTAATCTCCACAGGGGGCCTTTGGGAAATAGGGAAAAATCCCTATGCTAGTGTCCCTTATCTCCACCATTGTGTTATTATCTATCAAATTATGTTCCTAGAAACTGATATTTCTTCCAGTTCCTATCTCCATAGTGTAAATTGCTAACTTTCAAACAATGTGTGTTTTGGAAAAGCAAGGTTCAAAAACATGCAGTATATATAGCACTCACCTATGTGATTTTAGATTACATTTGCCAATATTCCTTACACATACATGTCCACCACCAAATATTGTGCCTGTGAATAGCTTTAAATGAAAATAACATTGTGTAAAGAAGGAATTGTGTAGAAGGAGTGATAACAGAACTTCCAGATTCAGGAGTTGTGCGTTACTAAAACAGTTGGAGAAGTACCAACACAAATGAAAATAATATGCTTCTGCTTGCCATTCCTAGTAACTTCAATAAATAGGCATAGTATACAAAAATTCTGGAAGCAATATAGAGGCATCATTATTGCTTTTATGAATCTGTTTAATCCTATTTTAAATTCACCCAGGTTGCTGGCTACTGTTACCTTTTCTAATTATTTTAATAAAATCACTATTTCTAAAACCGCAGTATTGTGAATTGGCATAAATGATGGTAACTCTCTCTGTTTGCAAATAGCATTTCTGGTAGCAACTCAGAATCCATCTGTCTTCCTCCCACCCCCACAACTTCAAAAATCTTTGAGAAATCTGCAAGCTTTCTTCAAATTACTTCCACCCCCTCTGAACCTCTTACTGTCATATAGATTCTTAAGAGAATTCTTCAGCTCAGCTGTCACTAGTTAACAGAGAGTCAGTCAGACAGCTGCACCTTTAAATTTGCCAGTAATTCCTTGCTTTTAAAAAAAAATTAATAATTTCAAATAAAGCATACTGAAATACTGAAACAAATGATGCAATGGAGCCTGCTCATAAAACTAGAAAGAGACCATTTCTTCTGATTTCTCAGCCATGAGTATATTGTGTGAAACGGCTCTAAGAGAACAACTTCTCCTATATGATACAGATATATAGTTTTGTGCTCAAAATTACCTTCCTGTCCATGAGCCAACATTTTCCCATTCTTCTCAGCACAGTGGTTTTGATTAAAGCTAACATATTTTTTTCCAGCCACTAAACCAAAGATGAAGAAAGGAGAAGTATCATTAGAAAACGTAAATGAGAGGCTCGTCATATAATTAGAAATAGCATTAAAACAGTAAAGTGGTTTAGAAGCCACACTGCCAAGCAGAGTATAAGAGAAAGACAATTAACTATCGTATTAAAATTGTGGTACAATGTAATGTGTGTTATTTATCATGAATAACACTGGAAGATTCGCTGAAGAATATTTGGATCATTATGATACATAGGAATAATATGTCCCCGTCATTTCACTCCATGTGAAAATACCAAGATTTTTGTTTGTACTGGGAGAGAAAGCGTGTACTGCTAGCAATAACATCAAGGATCTGTTTTTAGGGTTCCTGACCAATATCTATCCTGTGCCTTCATATTCCCGAAGAGTTTGCAGGAAATATTATTAGATCTGCAAATGACATCATGCTGGAAGGTGGGTGAAGAAAAAGATAGAGAAAAAGAAGTTTTTTTAACAGTGGTTTTGTCAACTACTCCATTCAGTCATCTAGCAAAGAGAGACTTCTGGCCGTTTGCTTTTGCCAAGAATATTTTTACTGAGGCTTCTGAGGTTTTCCCACATAAACAATACAAAGTAAAATTTCCACTCCCCCACCCCCGCCATCCCACTGTTATCTGTAAATGTCCACTTAGGTGCTTGCATATTATTTAGGAAACAGGCTTTCAGTTTCAGCTCTGCATATTGATGGTTGACCTTGACTGACTGAAGCTTCTCAGAATGCAGCCAGCTCAGCTGGACTTCCATTCCTCCCCACTTTCTCCTCCTTACATTCCAATTCCCCCCCCCTTGATAATATCAGGCTGTCTGCTCATGAAGCTTGGGTAGGAGAAATGCAGCTGTGACAGGTATGAAATGGAAAAGATGAATAAATATCAGAGACAAAAACTTGGAACTTAATGCATGTCTTTTCTAACTGTTCTTCTAGAGAATAAATAAAGCTTACAAGACCCCTATTCCCTCTGCATTCTGACTTCAATCTGTTAATTCTGGAATTCTTTTTGCCAACTTTCATTCCAGCTTACTTTTTCCTTTCCTCGAATACCTATTTGTTTGTTTGTGAGTATCCCACTTTAGTAACTTTTCCACAGTCGAAAGTAGAAGAGGGGGTCTGGGAAGTAGGCATAAGTAGGAAGTAGGTATAAGACTAGCCTGAAAGAATTCTTAAATTCTTAAATTTTGGCAAATACCAAAACACTGTAGACTATTTCTAGAATTCCCAATAGTTTATTTTAGATATGTATAAGGTAGTATTTAGTAAAGGTCACATTGTGTTAGTTAAAATGATTAAATGGGATATAATAATTACTTTCTTTCACTGATCAGTATCTGGTTTTAAAATACATAAATGTTATATCTTGAAGTTATCCAAATTATCTTTTCCTGGATGGTGCAACAGGTAGATATTATTTTATTTTCCCCATTTGAATGTAAATACTCGGGCACTTATGTCTATGAGTTGCTATGATTATTGGCAGTTAATGTTGCCTCTAATGTTATCTTTTAAATTAATTATTACAAATGCTGTTTCTCAGCAGTTGTGAAGAATACAAATATATTGAATGTCTCTTAAGAAATAGATGAAAGAATCAGTAACACTGCTTCTATTACAGGAATGTTCATAATCATCAGGCAATTATCAATAACTAAAAAGACATATACTAAATGCCAGGGGTCAGCTAGGAATGGAACATAAGAATATGAGTTGGTACAGGGAGCCATGGAATAGCTTTTAAGGGACATGGAAATAGTATTAGGAAGAATCAGATTCTTCCTGACTCAGTGGCTTATAAGGGGAAGAGAAGATGAAACATAAGCATAAGCATGAGATTCTATTATTACAGCCAATAAAATATAGGTGAATAAGATATTTCATGGCTTAATCTGCTATTAAGAGTGATTTAGTCCTGCAGGCTATCAATGTGAATTTGGCTATGATAACTATTGTTCTTCAGTTCTTGTCTGACAGTTGGTGACAAACGTAGAACTCAGCTGACTGCCAGGGAAATAACTAGAGAAAAGTGATCTGAGTCTTAAGGGAGTCTCAGCAGAAATCACAATATATTAGGATATGAGGCTATGACTCAATAGCATTCAGACTGAAAGGGCAGGATTTTTCAGTAAAGAAGATTTTTCTGAATCTACCGTTGAGAACTAGGGGTGGTAAAATGTCAAATTGCATTAGCATAAAATTCCTCCCATCTTTTAAGACTATTCCTTGAGAACAAAATGCTATTCAAAACACTTTTGAAATAAATTTGGTTTTAGGAAAATACTAACAGCGGTTTGAGATTGGGTTCCTTTTTTTCTTTTCTTTTCTTTCTTCTTTTCTTAACTGTGAATCATGCACGTTATCAGTACTGTATCTAATACCTGTATTTATGTGTTTTGCTTTGTGATGCTACATCTTATTTTTTGTAGCTAATAGCAGTTTTGAGAATTACAGATGAGAATGACGGCAGCAGGGAGGAAGGATTCAATGGCACTGTCAGGGTTCCAAGTAATAGATCAATAGCAAGCAAAACTCTGAGGCAGGCAATTTCCTCAAAGGATAGCTTTATTGGAAATATCATATTGGCACATATCTGGTGAAAACCGACTCTAAAGGTTGCTGCAGTTTTCACCTAGTTAAAAGAGAAAGTTTTTCCCAAATCCCAAACGATCAGTCACATGGTCCAATCAAGGTGCTGTCTAGTCATCTGGAGACCTCTCACCTTCTTCTACAGTGCAGGTGTAAGAATGTCCTTGGTTTTCAAGAGAAAGTGTTTTGTTTTGGCTACACAAACCCATTTATCTCTAATCCTCCATCCCTGTCCCTCAGCTCCAGTGTGGCAACACTGAAGTTCCAATATAGCTCCAGTCAGGTCAGCTTTAGGGTTGACAGGTACTACACTTGTGCCACCTGCCCTATTCTGATCCCTATTATTATTTAGAAAAAGAAAATGCAGAGGCAGATTTAACATCACACCTGTTTTGCTTTAACTAATCTTGAATTTCATTCTAAATGCATTGTATGGAATATCAAATGATATATGGATGTTATGGAAGCAAGGGATGTCTACATATGGGGAGATACCAAGAAACTGTTCTTCTATTTATATCAATTCTATAATTTATTTGGCTTACTATTTTCCCCCTGCCTTTCTTTACTTTGCAATGTTGCTAATCCTGAAATTGAATAGTGAGATAGATATAGCATGTATGTAGCTGTACTAGTCTTAGGTATAAAGTCAACTTCAATTTCATGAAAAACATATTTGATTCCTTTTTTCTATAAGAATCCTCAAATACACTCTATTCAAAGAGTGACAGAAAAGTTTGGGAAGAAAGTTTCCAAAACTGCCTATGGAGATTCTCAGTCATCCAGGTCATGGTTGTCCCAAAGGTGCTTTTTTAAGAGACAACTGGACTTTCTTGTTTTTCTTTGAAGATATTTCACTTCTCATCCAAGAAGCTTCTTCAACTTCTGGGAGCTGAAGAAAGATACTTTTTGGATGAAAAGCGAAACATCTTCAAAGAAAAACAAGGAAGTCCAGTTGTCTCTTTAAAAAAAACTTGTATATTGCATAATACTTGAAAATATATAGAATTGGGAGCTTTAATTGTTGCTTTTTCTTTCTAAACTATTTCCTGCAGGTATCTTCATTAGGCAAAGACAAACTTCAAGGAAATAATGGATTTCCTAAACTTTACTGAACAAAACTATACACTGGAACAAAATGATACAGAATCATTTAAAAAAGTAACTTCCAAGATTCTAGTTTCTATTACACTTTCTGTTCTGGCAGTAATGACAACGGTTATCAACTCTCTAGTGATGACTGCAATAATTGTGACAAGGAAACTCCATCACCCTGCGAACTATTTAATATGCTCTTTGGCAGTGACTGATTTCCTTGTGGCCATCCTCGTCATGCCTTTCAGCATTGTCTATATTGTCAAAGAAACCTGGATCATGGGTGGGGTGATGTGTGATATTTGGCTTAGTGTTGACATCACCTGCTGCACTTGTTCTATCCTGCACCTCTCGGCCATTGCTTTAGATCGCTACAGAGCAATCACTGATGCTGTGGAATATGCCAGGAAGCGAACACCTAAACATGCTGGCTTTATGATTGCTATTGTCTGGATTATTTCCATCTTCATTTCAATGCCACCATTGTTTTGGAGACATCAAGCAACCAGCAAAGATGATGAATGCATCATTAAGCATGACCACATTGCTTTCACTATATATTCTACATTTGGAGCATTTTATATCCCACTAGCATTAATTCTGATTCTTTACTACAAAATATACAAAGCAGCCAAGACTTTTCATAGAAGGAGTATGAGTCGGGTTCTTAAAGAGGAGGCCAATGGGCAAGACCTCTTGGAAGCAAATGAGAAAAGCTGCCGGCTTTCTTCAACTGCATCATGTACAAAAGATAAAAGGTCCAACCCTTCGGGAGATTCGGAGAGAATTCGATTTTCACTGAGAAGCCCTGATTCAGAATCTAAGAATGAAAAAGGGTGGAAAAGGCAACGCATTTCTACCACAAGAGAACGGAAAGCAGCAACTACCCTTGGTTTGATTTTGGGTGCTTTTGTGATTTGCTGGCTGCCTTTCTTTGTAAAAGAGGTGGTTGTCAATACCTGTGAAAGATGTCAAATTTCAGAAGAAATGTCTAATTTTCTGACATGGTTGGGCTATATCAATTCTCTGGTTAACCCGCTGATTTACACAATCTTTAATGAAGATTTTAAGAAAGCATTCCAGAAACTTATTCAGTGCAGGACCTCTCTCTAAAAAAAAAGAGAGAGCTTTTAGTCATTGGTTGATTTAAATCTGATTTTTGAGGGGGGAGGGAATTTGAAAATCAAATTCACAGATCTACCCTTGATGGAACTTTGCCTATTGCACTTGAGAATTTACCAAATCAAAGGGTAAAATGAGGTTCCAGAAGCTTTTGTAGGAGTTGTATATTACATGTGATTCATAGTCCTGATTTTATGCCATAATTTAGCACTACAGCAGTATTTGAAACATATATATAACGTACAACAACTTAGCCTCAAGTCTTTCCAGAAAGCTTCCCAGAAATTTAAATCAAGCTGGATTGATTAAGTTCTAGTGCCAGAAATTGGATGAGAATCCACACATATACAACAAATTCAGTTCAATTATTTGTGGAGTAGCTCTAATTGTTTACATATTTAACTTATAACAACGTACACTCTGTTTAAGAAAGAAGCCAATTATTAAATATCTGTTTTGTATCATTAATACAGTATATCATAATGAATGTTTTTCACGTGTTAAAGTGTATATTGGGAAGAAAAGAAATGACAAAAGTTGATTCAAATGAGTAAATGGTTATAATTATTGGGTACACAGAGAACTGTATGAATATTTGTGAGAATGGAAACATTCAGCTCTTCAGTGAGTACAAGAGCACACATCTGATCATGGAAGATGCACCCCAAGGGGACATGGTAATCCGTTCTCTAGGATCTTATTTAAAACCAAGAAGATACAGAATTCTTTTTCAATGTAACTAACATAAAATTACTCAGTAACCTAAGGATTGCAATACTATTTAAAACTCCTATATGACAAATTTATTTTATTTTTTAATGGTGGAATGACTTAAATTATAACATAGGTAGAAAATATGGGAAATAATAGATTTTTTAAAAAAATTAACAGTTTGTCAATAGCACTTCCTTGTGTGGTGGCACTGGATAACAAAAGGTCACTTTCCTTAAGGAAGTGAATTCTTTAAATATATTCCTCAGCCTAGTCTAGCTCAGGGGGAGATTATGGAACACCACTTTAGAATTTCACTGTCTTTCCCAAAGCCACGGCCAATAGCCCTTTTATCACAAGGCTTCAGCCAGTAATATCACCAGGGACAAGTCATGCAAAGCTTATCTGCTTTACCAAGGGCACTTTTCATTTCATCACAAATGGTGCAATATTGTTTCCTGGGGCTTTGGTTGGCTTTCAGCTCTTATTAAAATATATGTATCAGTATTGTCTATTCCTATTACTACATTTTCTGGGCATATGACATGGTACCAAATGGAGTGTGTGTGTGTGTGTGTTTCCTCTATATATATAAAAGTTATCATACAGTCAGTAATTGCCAAAGCTAAGAAAAACAACTAAAGCAATAAATACATATTTTTGAATGTTGAGAATACTGTTTTAGTCAAGACAGTCATGTGGTTTTAGCTGTGTTTTAAACTTATGGCTTGAAAATATTGGAAGCTGTTCATAGTCTTTCTGGAATTAGGTGGCCTTAATAAATAAATCAATAAAGTCAGAACTGCAGAATCATGAGGAAAAATTAAATAGGTTACAATAAGATAATGGCACAGTTAAAAAAACTTCGGAACACTGACAACTAATAATAGTTCATCACATAAAATACACTAAGAATGTTAAATGAATAATTATCTAGTATAGTAATTGGAAAAGTTGAAGTCATTTTTTAAAAAATCGCACATTTTTGAGGAAGGTATTTGCCTAAGTACTTTAGCTGAAACCTTACTTCAGCATTCTGGAGACTGCATTTAGCTTTGTCTAAAACACAGATTCAAAAGACTACAAGAACATTTGTGAGGAAGTCATCTGATTTGGCTCATGAGCAAATTAGACTTTATAGAATTTATTTTAGCACTCTGAAAGGAAACCTATAAAATTACCCTAGTAAGCAAGTATTTTTTCCCTAGTAAGAAGCACATGGATTGGTGACCATGATTCCCTACCTCATAATAACTTTTTTCTCAAGGTGAATTGTTTATTTGTTTTATTTATATTATTGTTGACATTATTTAGCTATTAATAGAATCTGAAATTTTGGTTCAATCACTCAGCATCATTGCACTCACCTTCCTTTAACAACTAAAATGGAATGAGTGTTAAAAAGCAACAATTGTCTTAGATGTAGGAGAAAAGGGATATTTAGAGATGGAAGACAATATTTAGAACTGAGCTACTCATCCCTTCCCTAATCAATAAACCAGCTTTAAAGTCAGCCCACTTTTGTTTTTCCAAATAGTTAGGTGTAGAAAAATGCCAATTACAGGTAATCCTTGACCTAGTACCCATTTACAAAAAACCTAATAGAATGACCCACTGTAGCATCTGTTTGTTGAAAACTTTTAACAAGAGAAATTTTGCAAATTGCAAAGCAATTCTATTGTCCTATTTTAAGGATATTTATATATTACTTCTACCAACTCTATTACCCTTAATTTCTATTTCTATAAGCAACCTTCATGAGGCTGAATTTTTGTGAACTACTGTGTTTAGGAAGTCTCACTAGTTTATCTCAAACATTGTTAACCTGTGCTTCTTTCCTAGACTTAATGCATTTTAATGCATATTCAGCCAGAAGTAAGGATTACGGACCTGTTTGATCTTTATCCTTTACCTTCTTTACTTGCTTCAATATATTTTGGCTATAGCTCTTTGATACTTCATGCCTGGACTAAAACCATCAAATTCACTTCAATCTGATTTTCTCCTGTCTCCTTCTCTCCTTTCATAGTTTACGTTTGGGTCACATTTTTTGTTTAGGAATATGACACATCCTTAACTATGAGTCTGTAAAATGCATTGTTATTTTTAATGCCTTTTTTAACGTCACCTGATATTTGAACTGCTGAAGAAGTGTCCTCAAACATCTAGCTACCAGTATCTAGCTATCTGGCTATCATATCTATCTATCTATCTATCTATCTATCTATCTATCTATCTATCTATCTATCTATCTATCTATC